TATAAACTAACGACCCTAATGCGCCCCACTCTTCAGGGTGGACTAGCGTTACCGGACTTCTATAAATATTTCCTAGCAACCCAAATGGTCACGGCCCATTGGTGGCTCTCAGCCGATGTCACCAATTCCTCGGTTGTGTTGGAAGCTGCAGTCCTGAACTCAGTGGAGGCACTAACCGGCCTGCTGTATAGGGGCCAAAAGCCCCTTATCCTCTTAACCCTTTCATGCGCACGACCATCAAAGTATGGCGCACGGGTAACTCCTGGTGCTCCAGGAAGGCCCTGGAAATTTCCCCGAATACCCCTTTGTGGAAAAACCCCAACCTGCCCCATTTCCACACGGTCCCTGATCCCGCCTTTTGGGCAAAACATGGTGTGAAACGGATCTCGGACATTGTGGAGTCCTCTTCCCTGATCTCATTTGAAGACCTAACCGGAAGGAGGGCTATCCCCCCAAATGCATTTTTCGTTATTTACAACTCGCCCATGCCTTCAGCGCTCAATTTCCAGGAGATGGGATTCGCCTGGGAGAGTCTCAACTGGAGTCCCTGGCTGGGACGGAGAGACTGAGGAAGCCCGCCTCCTGTTTCTATAATACCCTGCAAACCATAACTTCCTCTGGCCTGCTCACATTACAGACTAAGTGGAGGGTGGACGTCCCAGACATGGATGAGGAGGACTGGGAGGAAGTATGGGATGCACCCTTTAAACAACTGGTCGCCATAAGGTTAGAATGGTGCAATTTAAGATATTGCACAGAGCCTACTTTACACCTCACCGCTTACACAAAATGAATGCGTCCATCTCCCCGTCCTGTTGGAGATGCACGTGTGATGAAGGTGGGTTTTTTCATGTATTCTGGGAATGCCCCCTCATCAAGCTCTACTGGGGCTCCACGGTAGACTATATCTCAAGAGTCACCTCATTGCCACTCACACCATCACCGAGATTGTGCCTGCTGGGCCTGGTGGAGGATGTAGCTCCGACCAGGTCGGAACGCATACTGGTGGGCCTCACCTTGTTCTATGCACGCAAAGCTATTGCTATGTACTGGAAAAAGCCGGCCCCGCCGGAGTTGTCCTTTTGGAAAAAATTAGTGAATGATAACCTGCCTCTATACCAGGATACGTATGCTAACAGGGGTTGCCCAGGGAAATTTCATAAAATCTGGGATAGCTGGCTGGAATGCACTAATTCGGCTGCTGATCTAGATGCCTGCTCCTGAGTAGGAATTAATGCCCAGGATGGAAGGCTCCGGAACGATCTAGACAGAATCCGACCTGTGGGTCCAGAAGATATAGGATCGCATATCCAATGACCTCCTATCTAGGCCAGGCCCTCTGGCTGTTATGTGGAGGGGCTGTGAGAAGACCTAGCAAGGCCCATTGAGTAATGATTCCCCCGCCTGAAATGTAGGACCGGAACTGTATTGTTTTGTTTGATTTTTCTTATTTTGCTTCTTGTTTTCTTGTTTTATTTTCTTTTCCACGGCTATTGATGCCGTAATGTTATGTTGAATGCACTGCTATGCATGGTGCCACCGATGTAAGGCACAAATAGCGTGCACTGTTGTGATGTATGTATCAAAAACCAATAAAGTGTTTTGCTAAAAAAAAATTAAAAATTAAACCGTAAACTTACACATGACATTGACACACTTAACGTTTCTGCTACAGTGTGTGCATTTACAAAACAAACCAACGTACCATTATAAAGAAATAAAAACCCACCGACACGATGACCCACTTGCAATATGTTTTGTTTACTTCTGCCCGACCTGTGACGCTTAGTTTACATCAAGCTACGTAAAGGTGTATAGCTTTTAGGTTAAAGCGGGATTAGAGTTAACTGCATTAGTAAAATCTTATTAATGACGGCTCCAATTAAATACATCATCACAAATGTTTTTCTACTTGAGCTCCACTACTGCTGGTAATATTTGTCACAATGAGTCCTGGTGTCTGGTCATAAACGTGGGGAGCAAGAAGCCATGGAGAAAATAATTAAGAAGGTAAACTTGTTGCTACACCATACACCTACTTTTCCTAACCTAGCAAATGTAACAATTATCTTGCTCTGGTTTGATATCACTTTCTTTTTCTATACTATGGGGGGAATTTATTAACGAAATTGCGAGTGTTTGAATTCGCATATGGTCGCATGGGATATATTTGACGCACTTTGCGCCAGATTTATGTTGCTAGTGTATGTTGTTCGTAAATTAGATTAAATAGACTGCAGGAATGAAGACTTGTAACTCAAGGCAAGAAGCTTAACTGTCGCTTCTTGAAGAAGTGGTCATAGGGAGTTCTTAAGTTGCGATTGTCTTGTTAGGTGATGCGCTGGTTTATACAGCCGCAGGACAAGCGTAGATGTAATCGGTTGCGAACTGTCGCAAAACAGGCGCAAACATTAGCAATCTGGAAAATAGTGCACGCTCAGGGCAAAACAGGCGCACATCTTTACAGGAGCTGCCAAACATATTTGCGCTTAAATTAAAGTGATCGAAGAGGATAAAACAGTCACAATTGCGTTAATGTATACGTAAGATTTTTTTTTACATATAGTTTACATTGAACACCTGTAAAATGTAAAGCTGGCACTGAGTCTTGTTGATCTATTAAAATTGCCTGAGCCAGCGGCATGGAGCAGATTATATTATGTTTTCTAGTATACAACTGATTTTTCTAATCCTAAATCTATAGCACTGATTTATTTAAACTAGAGGAAGGAATGTTTTTTTTGTGTGTGACATCAGTTGGAGTGTCTAGTAGTGTTTTTTCAAAATAGTACAGAAAGTGTTCAGAGCAGATTTTGACCCATCTATGTGTTAAAACTTTTCTAAACCCTAAAAAAAGAGGAACTACAGCATATTACAGCTTACCAGTCCTTAGGGCTAGTTCACACCAGCCACAGTGTGTTCCGGTCCAATTCTGCCCAGAACACACTGGATCGCATTGTGGCCGACTCACTTTGTTGTGGGGCGAGAAGGGGCGTGGCAGTGCATTAAACTCAATGGCACTGTAGCCACTCCCTCAGGCTGCAATGTGATCAGCCGCACGGGAACGCAAGGCACATCCCTGCGGTCCGGTCCCAAAAAATGCTGCAAGCACTATTTTTTTTTTTCTGATCTGAACGCAGACATTGATGTGCCACACGTTCCCGTGCAGCCAATCGCATTGCGGCCAGAGGGCATGGCTGCTATACTGGAATTCTATGACAGCTACTGATAGACTTTGTATACAAAAGTATAAAAGAAACCATTCCTTTCCGAAGCATGCCAAACACTTTTTAGTAACAACTGCAGGAAAAATGCATTATTATCTGTATATGTTTTGACCGACCATGTTCTGACTGCTAAGGATGTATACCCTACGCCATGACAGTTGTAGGTTAAAACAAGATGATGCAGCCATGTGCTTGTTTCAAAATGGAGCAGTCATCATTCCTCTTAAGTAGAGGTGTTTTTGGTGGCTGTAAATCCATGTAAACATTTCTAGGAAAGCAGCAGCGCTGCCTCCAAGTTCTGGAGCTTATCTGTGAGAATAGGATTTCTGCAGAGTGATTAAGAAAGGAAAGTGGTAGGACATCGGTAAAATGGAAAAAGTGGTCTAGACATGTATCACATGAGTTAAAAATCGTTGTTCAATCCCACAGGGGATCCAGTGCACATAGGATTCGGTCCTGTTCAGATCTGTGCAGTATTTTGTAAAAAAAAAAAAAAAAAAAGGACATTTGTTTTCTATTTTTGCTAGCACTGAAGCCACCTTCCCCTCTTTTTATTCTAACATCTGCAGCTCTGCTATCTAATCATGCAGCCATGTGCCTCTTCTTTACCCCTCTGCCATCGTCCATGTACTGAAAAGACTTCTTTCTATAAGTAGGAAAGACTGAGCCAGGCCCAGTTGCCAGCTTCTGTCACTACCACTACTACTACTACTACTACTAGAAAAACCTGAAAAATAAAACTTGCTTTGCCCTGTAAAAGGAGAAACATTTTCACAAGGCATAATTCAAGTCATCCTTCTTTTAAAGAGCTATAGGGGCCACATGTATACGAACACTTCACCACACCGGCACCTGTAGCTCTTAAAGAGAGCAAAGTTTTGAATTAGAGGTGCACCGAAATTTCAGAACCAAACCGAAATAAAAAGAAATGTCAGGCCGAAACCGAAAATGTTTTTTTTATTTAATTTGTTTTCCAAATTTTTTATAAACTTCTTTTTAATATTTTATTTTTATTCATTTTTTTTTATTAAATATTTTTTACTTTTAGGGGCTTCTAAACAGAGCGGCAGTGTGGCTGTCTCCACCCCCTCTGCCGGACTGTGACAGGAGGCTGAGCGGTGTGGGAGGAGAGACGCCAGCCGCTCACATCGCTCTCCTCCCTTGGCGCTCGTCAGGCTGTCGCACTTTCTCTCCTGCCCGCTGGGACACAGAAAGAAAGCAGGGATGCGCCGCTGTATCGGCAGAAAAATGGCACTTTCGGCATTTAGCCAAAAGTCCCATTTTCGGCCAATATGTTTCGGCGGCCAATATATCGGTGCGGCCCTAGTTTGAATCACTGTCAGCCGAAAAAAGGGTTGCCCTAGTTTTATTTTATTTACCAAATTGATAGGGTCACTTTAAAAATCTTAATTTCAACAGATTTGTCCTTCGATAAGTAAACACTGCTCAAATGGGATTCACTGTGAAATATGGCCTATGACAGCTGTAACTAAAGTGTGAATAATTTAAAACATATGCATGTTTGCATATGCGGGGTAAGATGGTAGAGATAACATAAAACATGGAGAATTAATGATGTATTTTATTAGGGCATGTTTTTTAACATGTCTTATTTTCTCTATTTTATCTGTATGTGACATGACTATTTTGATTTCCCTTTTGATTTTGTTATTTCTATTGAAAATTAATAAAATATTTAAAAAAAATATGTATACCCCAAGAAAAAAGAAAAATTACAGTAACAATTCTTTTTCTTTTTTTATTCCCTAATAGGTGAAAGCCTCATTGCGTAAACAAGTTGTGGTACTAGGGCTTGATGGATCTGGAAAAACAAGTGTCCTAAATTCCTTAGCAGCTAATAAAGGGAGATTTGTCACAACACCTACAGCAGGTGTTAATGCAATGTGTGTCAACAATGGAACCTCTAAAATGGAGTATTTGGAAAGTAAGTTTTATTGTTTGTGAGCTATCATAAAGGCAACTATTTATATTCATTCTTCTTACTGTTAAATGTCGCCTTCTCCAAGAAGATGAACATCTTAAGTTAATGTACTCATATAAGCATATGTTATGCTGCTTCTTTTCACCATTCTTTCACCTGTTGAGATGAAAGAGGACCTTTGTTTTTTCCGTCAGTGTTGGGAGAGGTGTCACTCTGCAATTTAGACACATGCAGCTGCTCATCCTCCCTGGCTCTGACGTCACCCAAGGTCCTGGTGTGGTCTAAGGAAGCCTTCCGCAATATGCATTGACAGTGTCTGCAGATCATGTGAGGCTTCCCTAGTCCCTGCAGGACCTTGGTTAATGTTCCCTTTCGCTGTCCAGTAACAAGCTTGGGCAACACCCCGTTGCCTATGATAACTAACTACAGCAGCGAAAATTAGGTTGTCTGCCTTGTCAGACAGGGCTGTACAGTGTGGCAGTGCTGTGCTAATTGTAAGGACTTATTTTCTGTATGTATTCTATCAGGGGGATTCCCCTTCAGTTCCTGTCCCCAAGACACAGCAGTAAATAAGAAAAGATCTCTCCAAATCATAAGCTTTAGTAACCCTTCTTAGACATATGTCTGTGATGGTTCTCATTCATCCAGGTCATGGTATATCTGTAAAAAATAAGTCAAGGCAACTGGAATTGCTGTATTTTTCCTGAAGACGTTTCACTGGTCATCCAACCAGCTTTTTCAATTCAGAATGACTTGTACAAAAAATTATCTGGGAATAAATATGGTGAAAGTTTCTTTGTGTTCAACTTCTTAGACAGTTGTCACACGTTTACCCATTGCAATATTTCTCCTCACTTCTTGTTCCTGTTTTGTTCCAAATTGCTTGGATTTCCCACAACATACCAGACACAGCAGTCACCGGGACAAATAGGGAGGGTGAATCTCCCCAGCGAGGACACAGGCTACAAAAATACTTGTCTGTGGTTCTAAAACTTTCACAATCTATCCAATAGGGATGCGCAGATACCAGTTCAGATACCAGTGCCGATACTTGCCATTTTCACGAGAACTACCAGGGTTGCAGCGGTTGCAGCTGGGACCTAGCTCTGGCGCTTCACCACTGTCCTGAAATCATTCGTCTGTATTGTTTTAGAAAAACTGTCACATGACAAAAAACAAAAATGTATCAGTACTTGCAAAAATGGTATCAGTGCATCCCTTTTATATATACGGTATTTACATAGTATTTGAGGTTGAATAAAGACAGAAGTCCATCAAGTCCAACCTATTGCTGATGTGTGCATATGTATAGGTCCATGTATTATCTCGTTCTTAATACCTGTACCCCTGTATATTACGGTCTCCCAGGAAATCGTCCAAAAGCTTCTTGAATGATTCCATACTCTTAGCTGAAATCACTGCTGGTGGCATCGAGTTCCAGACCCTAACCGCTCTAACTGTGAAGAACCCCCTTCGCCCCTTGTGCTGGAATTTTTTCCCCACCAATTTTAGGTGGTGGCCTCTAGTCTTTTTAATGGAGATAATCGTAAAGAGTTTGTTGCTAATGTTGCTGTCACCATTGAACATCTTGTACATGAAAGTCATATCCCCCCTTACTTCCAACTTGAACATGTTTAAATTTAGTAGCCTTGTCTCATAGCTCTGGTCCTCCATTCCCTTAATTAGTTTGGTTGCCCTCCGCTGGACTCTTTCCAGCTCAAGGACATCCTTTCTGTGGACTGGTGACCAACACTGGACCGCGTACTCCAGATGTGGCCGAACCAATGATCTATAAAGTGGCATAATTATAGACTTGTCTCTGCAATACATTCCCTTCTTAATACAGGACATTACTCTACTTGCTTTGTTTACAGCAGCCTGGCACTGCAAGCTATTAATCAATCTGTGGTCTACAATGACCCCCAAATCTTTTTCTATTTCTGACTTCCCTAGTGGCATACCCATGGTTGTATAGCCCATTTGCTTATTTTTAATTCCAAAGTGCATTACTTTGCATTTATCGACATTAAACCTCATCTGCCATATATTTGCCCACTATAAAAACAAGATCCTACATGAAACCAGGATGGTACAAATCCCAGGAGGTCCGTGTGCTCCTTACAAATGACAGCTGCCTCCTAACTTCTGCATTTTTCTCTAGTCTAGTCTTGGAGCTCGAAAAGTATCTGTTCTTGTACTTGTACCGAGTACGGTTCTTGGTATAGGTGCATCCCTACTATCCAGAAGAAAAAGAGTTCTGGTTTTAGACGTCCTGACTTATTTTTAAAGTATTTTTGTTTGTGTGTGCTTGTTCATAAACAATTGTTACTTTATAATTGATTAAAGGGAGATCTTATTTACATACATCTACACTTAATATCACAATATTTTCATGTCTAGGGGCATCATGTAGACACTTTAATATTCCAGCTTCCATGGCTTGTTCACACCAAGCGTGTTCCGGGTAACAGAGCAGTTACAGACCGGATCAAAACTGCGTCCAATGTATTCCAATGGTGTTTTGGTGCTCTAGTTCACACCGCAGCAATCAGTGCCAGAGCATGTAAAAAAAACTGCAGCAAGCCCTATTTTTCCTGCTCTGGTACGCATGCAAATGCACCAAAAACGCATGCAAACGCACTGAAATCCCATTTTAAACTAAAAACGGCCTGGAACGCATAAACGCAGTATAAAACACTGAACTGCGTGTGCAGAAACTCATGCAGATCTGGTCTGCATTGGGTGTGAACAAGCCCTTACTGTAGTTATTTATAAAGCAGGAAAAGGCTAACTAGAATAAAATTAAACTGGTCTTTGAAATATGGGAACAAATGTGAAGAATTTTAGAGAGCTGGTTCATAAGTGGCACACATAGAGAAAAAGGTTTCTTGTGTTCACTGCTTTTACGGTGGTGAACTAGTCTTTTCATTTTATGTTCTAAATCGCTACCAAACCAGAACTTAGGAAATGACCCTGAAAAACACTGAAAAATGGGGTTGAACCATTCACTACACTACCCAAAATGAAAAAAAAAAATCGTTTTAGCTATAAATATACTTTAAATTTACATAGGGAGCAGTTGACCTGCCAAAAGAGTTGTAAAGTCATGTATGTGATTATTTGAGCTGTATGTCCTAAAGCTGTGAGTGACTTCCCCTGCGCTGTCGTCCAATCAGAGTAGGCCCAGTATTCATTGAAAAAAAAAAAACTTAAATGGCCAGTGTGCCAAGCGCACAGCCCGCTGTGTTTTAACAATGGAGGAGAAGTTGCTCAGCACAGCGGCTGTTCCTGGAACCAGAAGACTGCTGTATGTCACTGTAGTAGTTGCTGTAACATGTTCAGTACTCCAATGTTTTACAATAACGGCCCCAACACTATGGAGGATTTATGTCACGGACCACCTACTCTTTGACTATGAACAATATTACCAATTCTTAACATATTTTATTTTAATCACATCAGCTACATCTTCAGTAGTTAAATAAAGTTCAGAAAACCCTAACTTTGTAGTGTTGCTATTTTACCAACAGTTGGAGGAAGCGAACATCTGCGTCCCTACTGGAAAATGTACCTCTCTAGAGCATTTGCTGTCATTTTTGTTGTGGACTCTGCAGATCACGATCGCCTTCCACTTGCAAGAATACACCTACATCAACTGATTCAGCAAGATGCAGTTATTCCATTAATAGTTCTTGCTAATAAACAGGTATGGTCCAGTTCTTTTCTTTTATATTTCTTTTGGATGTGTTTTAATACAGTAATCCATCGCTAGATCAGCTTTTGGCTTCATAGTTACATAGTTAGTCAGATTGAAAAAAGACATTGAGTTCAATTAAGCATCAGATATTTTTGATCCAGGGAATATCCGATTGTCTTATGGGATCAGGAAGGAATTTTGTTTCGTCTGTTGGGGCAAATTGAACCATAGCGCCCACAATTACCCACTGTTGGTCCAGAGGAAGGACAAAAAAACCCTATAAACCATGGTTCAATTTGCCCCAACAGACGAAAAAAAAATTCCTTCCTGATCCCATAGGACAATCGGATATTCCCTGGATCAAAAATATCTGATGCTTAATATACCTATAAGAACTCAATATCCAGTAATATTCTGTGCATTTAGGAGTACATCCAGATTTTTTAAAACAATTAACTGAGCTAGCTAGGACAAGCTCCTGGGGGAGTCTGTTCCACATTTTCACAGCTCTAACTGTGAAGAATCCTTTCCATATGCAAAGGTTAAACCTCTTTTTCTCCAGATGCAAAGAGTGCCCCCTTGTCTTTTGCAGTGGCCTTAAAGTGAATAATGTGGCAGCAAGCTCTTTTATATAGACCATTTATGTATTTATATATGGTGACCATGTCCCCCCTTAATCGCCTCTTCTCATGAGAGAACAAATTCAGGTCAGCTAATCTTCCCTCGTAGCTGAGCTTCTCCATGCCTCTTATGAGTTTGGTCGCCCATCGCAGCACTTTCTCCAGTTCCACAACATCCTTTTTGTGAACTGGTGCCCAAAACTGAACTGCATATTCCAGATGAGGTCTTACTAATGCTTTGTACAGGGGCAGGATGATGTCTCTGTCTCTGGAGTCTATACCCCTTTTATTACAAGAAAGTATTTTGCTTGCTTTAGAAACTACAGCTTGACATTGCATGCTATTATTGAGTCTATGATCTACCAGAACACCCAGATCTTTCTCCATCATTGACTCCCCCAAACATACTCCCCCTAGATAAGTAATGTAAAATATAAATCCGCGCTACTGGATAATGCCACTAGGGGTCACTAAGCCACTCCAACAATACAAACCAACAGTTTGAGCATTGATTTTATGGAAACTAGAGAGCGCTAAAGGACCCCAACCTAAATTATTAGCACTCATTTAATAATTTAGGTTGGGGTCCTTTAGCGCTCTCTAGTTTCCATAAAATCAATACTCCCCCTAGAGTGTATGAAGCATGCATGTTTCTAGTCCCCAAGTCCATAACTTTTCATTTATCAACATTAAACCTAATTTGCCAAATAGATGCCCAATCATACAGTGCATTCAGATCTGCTTGTACGTTGGAGACATCCTGTAAGAAGACTTTGATCCCTTTTTAAATGGTCAAACAATAAATGTATAAATGTCTGCCCTTTTACTATATCTGTAAAAAATAAGTCAAGGCAACTGGACTTGCTGTTTTTTTCTTGAAGACGTTTCCCTTGTCGTCCAACCAGCTTTCTCAATTCGCCTTTTTACTGTTCCAGCAATGCCATTATGCCAGTCAATGTCAGGATAGTTAAAATCTCCTATTAATACTACTGTCCCCGCCGTTGCAGCCCTTTCTATCTGTGAGCTGAGTCTCTATCTCTTCATTAACGCTGGGGGGCCTGTAACAAATTCCAACAATTGCCTTTGCATTATACATACCAGTATACAACTCCACCCATAACGCCTCAGCACCATCACACTCACCATCAATAAAGTCCTCTTTCACACTCACTTTTAGATTACTTCTCACATAGAGACAAACACCGCCACCTTTTTGTTTTACACGGTCTCCCCGAAAGAGAGCATAGCCAGGAATAATAACAGCCCAATCATGTGAAGAACCAAGCCAAGATTTAGCAATACCAATTATATCTTAGTTCTCATGCACCAAAGCTTCCAATTCAGTCTGAATTTGATGATTATAAGATTAGTTGTAATGCAAAAGCCAAGGATCCTCTTTTGCCATAACTTTGTTCTAATTCATTAGAGATGGTAGATGCATTAGGGCCCGCACATATTTACATGTTCTTATTTGAATGGTATCTAAAGAAGCAGACACTGACAGGGCTATTCATAGAAGGGTGAACAGTTTGGAGAAGGCAGGAGAAGTGAACAATCTAGGACTGTGGTGGCAAACCTATGGCACGCGTGCCAGGGAGGGCACGCGAGGCCCTTTCTGCTGGCACGTGAGCCCAGCTTCAGGCCCCAAAACATTAAGGCAGCCGAGCTGTCTAATGTTGACGGGGAGAAATCGGCAGGCGAGCGAGCAGGAGGAGAAGGGGGACGGAGCGGCAGGGGGTGGAGACAGAGGGAGATGGGGGCGGATATGAAAGGAGACGGGGGACTGAGCGGCATGAGACAGGGCCGAACACAGAGTGAGATCGAGGCGGAGATGAGAGGAAGTGAGGAGACGGAGCAGCATGAGACAGGAGGCAGAGACGGGGAGATGGAAGAGGCCTGTGAAGACTGAGGCAAAGGCAGAGACCGCGATGGAGGAGGCGTCGCCAAGGGGCCAGTCGAGTGGCGAAGCTGAGATTTTTTCAGGCCTAAAATGTGGAATATAACATGGGTGCAAAAAATGAAAAAAGGGCCTCAGTCATGAAGGGGTTAAATAATTCTCCAATTCAGCTCACTTTCCAGTTCACCTATTTTGGCCTAGATTGGTCACTTCTCCTGCCTTCTCCAAACTCTTCACCCTTTTGTGAATAGCCCTGCAAGGCTAAACCTTTGTACAAAATACACAGTACAGAGTGTTAAAATAGAAAACATAATTTTACCTGATACTTTTCTTATGTTTAGGGAAAAAAACAATGTTCTTTTTTGGTCTCAACGCTCCCATTCCCTTATGTTTAGAATTGGCTGAAGTCACTTATTTTGCTCCCACTCTAGGACCTGCTCACTGGAGAGTATACTGCCTGCATGGTAGTGCAGAGGGAGAGCATTAATGAGAACCCTGAGCCTAGTGAACATATGTAGGCTCCACTTCAGTCTACACTAACTAATTGTATGCTACTACCCCCTCTCCTTTAGACTCAAATGGGAATGCACCAATACTGATACTAGTATTGGTGTTGGTACTCATGCTGGTACTCATACTCACCCAAATGCTCCCGATGCTTATCCCGATACCGAAACCTCTGGTATCAGGAAGGCAGGTGGCGAGTCATTACACGCCGCCCAGCTTCCTGGTTGGCCGGAGAAGCTGGCTCCATGCTCCGTTGTCAGCAGGGAGCATGGAGCTGACTTCCCTGGCCAGAAAGCCAGCTTCATGCTTCCTCGTCCAAAAAAATTGGAGAACGGAAGCGCCACTACCTGGCGCAATAAATATGATGAAGCCGGGTGAGAGGGAGAGGTGATGTACTCACCTATGATAGGTCGATCATTCGCTTTTACGAAGGCCGTGAGATGGAGTGGAGCAGTGGTGGGGGTCCAACCCCTGCATGTAAATTAATACTGGCCTGAGTATAAGAAACCAATGTGGAACATTGATATATCACAATTGGCGTCAGCCCCCATCACCACGATATTGTGTAAACTATGCTTATTGGCTTTGTGGGCCTCCCACTAATACCCTGTTTCCCCGAAAATAAGACCTACCCCGAAATTAAGACCTAGTACTATTTTTGGGAATTGCTAAAATATAAGACCTACCCTGAAAATAAGACCCTAGATGTGACCATTCCCAGGGCCGGTGGTGGCATAAGGGGGAACTTGAAGAGAGGAGAGAATCAGTGGCGCCAAGGAAGCCAGCGCTAGAGGAAGCGAGGCGGCAGCGGAGGGAGCAGAGCCGCATAAGCAGATGTTTCCTCTATAGCGCCGCCTCCTGTCACAGGCGGAGTGATACCAGATGCACTCCGCCGGCGAAGAATCCATAGTGAAAGCGCGCTTCGCTCATTCTGGTTACCAAATTGCTCTTGGAAAGGTATGGCACCCCTGATTGCCCTGATCACCCTATTCTTAACTTTGCCATTTTGGATTATTTCATTTGGATTTGCATTAACTTTGGGTTGTTATACATAAAAAAAAAAATAAGACCTACCCCAAAAATAAGACCTAGTGAGCTTTTTTGAGCTAAAAAAAAATATAAGACAGTGTCTTGTTTTCGGGGAAACAAGGTACTGGCCAACCCGCTTCCTTGCGCATGTGCAGTGTTCTGGCTATACGCAGCCTAGGACTAGCAGTACCACTGGACACCTCCTGGGGATCACCTAGAGGGAGTGTAATCATTGGGAGGGAGAAACAAACTAAAGCAGGAGGACTTTGGGTATGCTCGCTGGTGGGTAAAATGTATAAAAGAGGACAAATGGTTAAGTTAGAAAATTCAAACCAAATACAAAATGGGAAAAACCAATTTGAGAATTTTCATATAATTAAATAAAAGGTCACAAAAAAGCAATTTAAGAAAATAATCATATCCTAAACAAAAGTCACACTGCTGGACAATATAATAAATATCCCCACAAGGGGCACACAGTTCAAAACCAAATGCCTATGAGAAGCTAGCCTAAAAAATAAAGTGAAATCAAACCAACCGAAGAACAAAGGCAGCACTGAAAAAACACAATAAGGAAAAAAATATTTCTAATAAAACTTGTGCAAAAATAAAGCAATCAATAAATAAACAATATAAATACACAAATACAATATCTGCAACGTATTTGTGTTCCAAATATTAAGCATTAATAAACAAATGTCCTTATTGATTGTAAACAGTGAAAACAGCCCCATGTTTCTATTACCGTCCTATGGTCCATAAGACGCACCGACCATAGGACGCAGGGAGGTCCGGCGCGCCTTATGGAGCACTCGACAGACTGTAGCTTCTGACACAGCTTCTATGACAGAAGCTGTGACAGAAGCTGCAGTTAGTGACCGCTGAGAACGGTCTCAGTGATCACACAGAGCAGACGAAGAAAGTCCATTCTTCGTCTGCTCTATGGTTATCTCGATCGTCGCCGCTGCTCGGTTTTAATACGGGTGATCTCATTAGATCACTCGTATTGAACGAGCAGTGGCTCCTGCTGCTGAACTTGATCGCCGCTGCTCGGCTTCAATACGAGTGATCTCATTAGATCACTCATATTAAACGAGCAGTGGCTCCTACTACTCGCCCGGCGCCCGAAACTGCATGTCTCGGGCGTCGGGATTCGCTCCATAAGACGCAGGCACATTTCCCCCCTCCTTTTGGGGGGAAAAAAGTGCGTCTTATGGAGCGAAAAATACGGTACAAATATCCACGTGATGTATATGATGAACTATTCAATACATCGCACTCAGTTGGTGGATAGCCTCCTCTTGTAAAACTGTATTTACTTCAGACATAGAGAATAAAGCAGGAGCTTGCATAAAATGATACTGCTTTATTTAGAAAAAAAAGAATCCACAAGAAATTCACACACATTTTAGAAGCACATATGTTGCACTACACATTAACCAGCATGAAATAATAACTCCTTACATGACTTATGATGCCCACAATCCCTCCATACCGCAGGAAACTGACGTCGCAATGACGTTTTGGCCTTACTAATGGTGTTCCTTTTTTCAAATATTCTATGTTCACATTTGTTTGTGTGTCATTTTTCCTTAAAGAAGGAATCCACTGTGGTTCAGAAAAGTTGAATTGCAATTGTGACTTATGCAATGATGCATTAAAGTGACACTAAACTCAGGAGTTAAACCCTAAAAATGCATCCGTGTACCTTAACTGTTAACTAGAATGTATCATATTTGTGTATCACTCAGCTGTAGATGCTCAAATCATCTCTGAATTGGTGCTGACACTGTCCTTCCTTCTGGAGGGTGGCTACTTTTGTTCCCCATGGTCCCTGTGTGTGTTGTAAAGTAGCCACCGCTCCAAGCTCACTCCTGTGATGGACTACAATCTCAATACAAGTTAGTAAACTAAATGTGAGATTCTATTACATCATGGGAGTGATCTTGGAGTGGTGGCTACATTACAATACACATAGGGACCATGGGGACCAAAAGTAGCCACCTTCCAGAAGAAGGACAGTGTCAGCAAAAATTCAGAGATGATTTGAGGATCTATAGCTGAGTGATACATAAATAAGATACATTTTTGTTAATAGTTAAGGTACTGGAATGTATTTTTAAGATTTAAAGGAGAACTATAAGGTGAGTGATTTCCACTCATCCTCATAGTTAGAGCCAACGTGTGACAATCTAATTGTCACACGTCGGCTCTATTGATCGGGAATTTGGCGAACACATACTGTCGCTCGCTCACTTTCTGATCATCTCACACCACAAGGATTTCCCACACCTCCCCTCTCTGATCCTCCTGCGCTGAATGGAGGAACGGACGGGGCAGGGGGCGGGCACAGCAGGCTCTGCCTCTAGATAGCTGTCAATTAGCTAGCTGGCTGGATCTCGACAGTATTGCCGGGATCCACCCCAGCTGCGGAGCTCTAAATATATAGCGAGCATTAGCGCGCTATATACTGAGCTTTGGGTCACGGGAGGACATTAGTATATGTCCTCCGGTGACCCTGAAGAGAACTATGGAATCAAAAGTTTACCCCATTGGTCTCTTTTAAGTCCTGAGTTTTGTGTGACTTTAAGAAAAGGACTCTGCATGAAGAGACTGGTGTTGTTGGCACCATATGCATGTCGTCAGTCTTCCCACAGTTGCCACAGTCTTCCCTGTAGTTACCAGGACAGAAAGTGAGCAGAATCTTTCCAATGCAGAAGCAGACATCAATCAACCTTTTTTATCTGCATCCCTTATAGATTCTCCTTACTTCCTAGTACCAGAACAGAAGCTGAGGAGGAGTCTGCCGGACCCTCTAATTAGACCCTCTAAGAGATTAATCTATTCAAGACAAAAAAAAAGCCTTTGGCATGGATAATATTTAAACACAATATGAATCAATGTTTGTTACATGTTTTATTCCTCCCTCCCCTATCTTGTTGTATGTTGGTGTCAATCAGAAGTAACAATCTAGTCTTTCCTTTTCTCAATAGGATCTAAAGAATGCATACCACATCACTGACATTCATGAGGCTCTTGGGTTGTCAGATATTTGTGAAAACAGGAAGCTCTTTTTAATTGGGACTTACGCAGCAAAAGACGGGTCTGAGGTTTCTTCTGGAATTCTAGATACAAAGGAGTTTCTTGCACAGCTTCTTTCAGAAAGTTCTGCTAAAATATCTTAATTGCACTTGCCAAAGCTTAGCTGAAGTAATCCAAAGTACTTTGCATTTTCACTGTGTAAACTAGATCTATCCTTTACTGAACATACTGTCTTAGTAATATATTTTTAAAGGTCACCTTGGAACTTGTCTTTAGGAAGTGGTGATTATTGGCTACACAATAGATAGTTAACTGAAAGTGATTTCATATGTTACTTATTCATTTCAGCAAAGAAATTGAAATACAATATTTGCTTGAACAGAACAATCATGTTCATGATTTCTAAACTGTCAGCTGTCAAGGAGATCAACATAACTTATTTAATATGCTGGGCCTTCATGTATCAAATTAATCTGAATAAGACATATTGGTGTATTTTGGGTTTAATTTTGAAGAATGGTTATAGAAAATTGAAGAATCTTATGGACAGGTATGAGTAACACTGACATGTCAGACACTTTAAAAATGTTTGGTCCACTGTATTCCTCTCTCGCTTTCACACCTATTTTTCTATTGAAACTGATTAAAATATATATATATATATATTGTCCAATTTTAAAAATGCTAAATAAATAGACAACTTTTTGTGAAATCCAGAGTTTTGTTGCTTTGTTAAACATCAATATCATGTATACTTATTTAAATGACTCCTGCCTACAATCTACATGTTAATATTCTTCAGCATGATGCCCCATGCTGGTGGAATGTCAATCTACTATATGTTGCTTTTTGGAACTAGACGTCTGCAGCAGGGCAGACTCCTAATTATGAATCGGTGCTGTCATTGATAGCACTGCTCTCTCACTAATGTTTGAAAACCACGCTAATTAGTTTGTGATCATGTGATCACTGTTACCCCATTATAGTGTTTATATGGGTAACAAAAAAAAATTGACTCCTGCAGTAAGGTCCCTCCCACAGTGCAGTAATTAAATGCTCATTTTTGTTTGGGGGAACATAAAAAGCAGTAATACTTACCTTACCCCTTCCCTGTGATGATGTCAGAGTGCCTGCAACTGACAGAACACCAAAGAGGAGCGGCTTCAGGTCACGCTGCTGGGAGAAAGCCTGTGGGAGCAGGGAAGAAGGTAAGTAAAAATGCTTTTTATGTTCCCACTACCCAACAATGTGGATTTAACCTCATGTTAAAGTGTGGATCCCTACTACAAGGGTAATTTTTTTTTTCCTGGAGCTGCTCAGCTTTAAAATATTGGTCCATTTCTACAATTATTGTTTTGTACAATCTCATCCAATGTTGTGAAATAAATTGAGTCCTAAGTAAGCTTGCACACACTTAAAGTGACTGTCGCCACATAAAAAAAAAGTTTTAAGAGTAAAAGGGAGCAAATACATGTACAATGTAGCGTGATTCATATCTTCGCTCTCTTGAAGAGCAACTGCAACCAACACACTTCCATGTGTGCTTCTGACTTTTCTTTTACTTTCCTGTTATGGATACTTGTGGGTGCATTTAAGGCCCTATTAAAACTTGTGAATCTGGCTGCTTGCATGAGTCTTATGAATTGCTCCCTATTACTCTTGCAATCAGCTGTGGAAAGGAGGGACTCTACAAACAATGACAGCCGCCGGCGCCTACAGCCGCTTGCATGTTATCACACATGCTGCGTTTACTTGCAGAAGATCACCCCTGGTTGCGGTCTGCATCCAGGAGCGATTGTCTGCAGGTAATTGCAGCATGTGTGATAACATCTAAACAGCTGTAGGTTGCTGGCAGCTTGTCATTGTATGAGGCAGCACCGCCCGCTGTATATTAGTGTGTATGGAGCCTAACAGCCGGGTAACTTGCATTTTCAGAAGGAGGTACGCAATGGTAGCTTTGTATTTATCTCATGATATGACAATTCATACTTGAGATTAAAAACTACCATCATTCAGGGATCAGGATGCCAATGGACAAGCGGTTCCAGAGGTTACTTCAGTTGTGCTAAATGCTTTATCATTTCTTGGATGGATACCTCTACCTGTGAAGGTATAATACCATAAGAAACATATTTCCATAAAGTTTATATTTTTTTATTAAATACCTCCATGCAAAAATATGCAATTCATTGATTTTACATATATTTGTGTAATTAATATCCAGCCATTTTACATTGCTTTATTGCTGTTTTACATGAACAAATAGCTTTAGGATCTAAGTAAACAGATTTCCAGTTTAGAATATATTACTGGTTAAATATAGATTTACTTACATATAATGTTTTTTTCAAATAAAGCATTATATTTAAGGGTAGACATTTCAAATATATTACATTTGTATATACAACATAGATAAGTGAATGCCCAATGTACAAACAGTACGTGCATTATTAGACTTTTCTTTCAACATCACTTTTGAGCTCTGTAAAAAAAAAATAATTGAGAGAAACATGTTGTATAAAATGTGCATTTCACAGTGCCGCCTCAGTCCATGACCGATCCACATTCTGACGGTAAACCCTCTGATCTTCTCCATTTAGCTAGTCGATCTTTGAACCATTTCTAGGGGGGGGGGAAAAGCATAATTACTCATTGCAATGTGGATTCTCTAGGTTTGCCCGTAACTCCCCCAGCTAATTAATAATTGCTGTGCTTATAACCCTAGCCAAGTATTTTAACATATCCACTACACAGGAGGTCTCTTGGTAACACGAACGATATTTGCTGCAGATCTCATGTCTGAGAGATGCATCAGTCTGTTATATATAATTCAGTGTCTATTACACTTGTCTGTCTAGAGAATACATCTATTGCCTGCATCAAGGAAATCTGCATTCTTAAGCAACCAGCATGAAAAGCGTTTGCATATATAAAATTATAAACAGAAAAAAGTTGGATAGACAAACTTTGATAATTGTGCTTTTTCATGAGTGGTTTATTCCACGGTTGGTAATCAACATTCCAATATTTACTTGGTATAGCAGCAACCAACATACCCACATTTCAGAACAGGCTATGCACTGTGCACTGTGTAATAAAGGGTTATGTTCAAGATAAATGGGCTTCCTTAATGCAGCTCATTTTAACACACGTAACGTTACATTAATGAAATGCATAGTGTGATTGGGTCCCAAAAGGAAACCTGCCCAGAGAGAATCTCATCAGAAGCGGCCACTACTAACCTTGTGCTAGTTGCCTGGCAGCTGTACTGGTCCTCTGATCCCGGTTTGTTTTGAGTCACTGATCTGAAACTTGCAAACCACCAATAAAATGAAAACCCTACTTGCCAGGACTCCAGTAGCTGCCTTCCATTCAATCTATTGCCCTCCTTACCATCTTGTCTTGATTTGTATTGTGATTGTAATGTCTTCCCTATATTGTAAAGTGCTGCGCAAACTGTTGGCGCTATATAAATGCTGTATAATAATAATCTATTACTATCATATTTTGATTAGTCATTTGATTCTTTAGGCCAGTTATGCCCTACCCTGCCCATGAAAGTCTCTTTGCAGACACTCTAACTATGAATATTATGTTCAATTTACATAAAGTCATGGTCTTGCAGAATTATTTACAGTAATCCTACTGAAGTCTCCTGGAAGCAGTGGTCATGAAGGTGGTTGTACAAACCCAGTCTGTTATCCTAGCCCAAAGCAGGCCAAAAGCCCTGCTCAACCTAAAGGTAAAACATGACAATTCAAGGTTAAGGAAACTGGTACGGAAGCAGTTATGGGAACTAACATTACTGACCCACCCCTTCTAAAAATTCTAGTTATCTGGCTTTCATGTTAATCCAGTAACTTGAGCACTTGTCCCTGTCATGTATTAGGAGTTCTGATTCACTTTGGCTTCTGCATCTGCATACTTGTTCTAGGTCAGTAACGTAAAGAATTGCAGCCATTCAATTAGCATGGAGGCCATGCAACCAGCAAATGCCCACACTTTTTTTGTGAAAGAGATCTACAATCTACACAGATACCATGTATGTAAATGGAGCTACCAATGGCCATTAGGTGCAGAATACTCTGTGAGCTTTGCTGTACATTGACGATGTGTTGGAATAGAATGTACAACAATGTCTTCCAATCTGAACAAGGTCTTTGAACACCTGCTTGATATAACACATCTATTCCATTCTGAATACCCCTAATTTAAATAAGCTCTATTGTTTTTACTAACATTATCCTAGAGTCACAGTTTGTCAACCACTGGGAAATCACTAAGCATTCATAACGTATGTGTTTTTTTCAAAGACCAAAAATAAATAAGGGGAAACTATAGTGAATTTTCAGTCACACATTTAATTATTATTGTAATTGGAGTTAATCCTGAAATTCAGAAGATGTTAGATTTAGACTGAATTTCATGAATTTGGATTTACCAAGCAGAATTTGAATTTCATTGTTATTTTTGGCAGTTCGGATTCTTAAAAAGCTTTTGGAGAGAGGGACCAAATTGCTCCAAAAGCCGTTTCTACTGTATTTCTACTTTTGCTGTTGCGTGGTTCCCCCTTAGCTTGACTGTCAGTGCCACCAGGTAGGCCCATTATCTCATCAGATGTACCCGCCAGGAGCTTCATTCTAAATAATTTTGCATCATTTGCTGCTCTGTAATTCACACTTATGTGGAACGTATTTTAGATTCCTATTGATTTTTGTTTCAAAATGTTGGAGGTTTGCAAGTTTCTAAAATGTTCCCCGGAACCACAACTGATCCATTTTTCAGAAGTTCACATAGCTCTAATTATAATGCAATTTAAAATTTAAAAAAACAACTATTTTTGACTTGTCCTTAACATTTGCTTTTCCATATATTCACGGCCCTATGTCCGATATGGGTTTTCAACCCAGCTTCACCTCTGCTTAGATAAACATGCATTATACATTACCTCAATGTTATTCCATGCACATGTATAGCAAAAACGAAAACATTTTAATAACCAAAGGCAAATGAGGGAACTATATCCTAAGTCTCCACTAGAGGGCACCAGAGTATTTTGTAATATTGTTCCCCTTGCAGTGTTTCCCAAACTACTCTAATAACAGGTTCAGTTTAATTCAGGTTTCCCAGAACTCTTCAGGGAATAACAGCTGAAATAATTTTGATGTTTTTTTTTAACAGATATAAGACCTAAAATAAAGAGTGCCCAACTGAGGCAGGGAAGTGAACAGTGTTAGTGAAGTGATCATGGGGCCCATGCATTCCATTGCCTCCCCCATATTCCCAGGGTGTGTACACAAATGCCTTTCTGTACATAAGAAATCACGATCCATCTTTTTTCATTCTAATAACAGTTGTTTGAGTCTCTATCAAGTTTTAAAACATTACAAAGTGAATCATTTAAAGTTTGTTTAAAACATTTTGTGCACACAGTTTTGATTTCAAATTGTGCATTTTTGAGTTCAGTAAATCAGACCAAAAAGAGGGACAACTGATGGGGTAAGAAGGACAGAGGGTTTTGGTTCCAAATGAGGGACATTTGGGAACTAGGTTTTATGCCCATGGGTTAGCTGGGCATCCAGTAATGAATATTTTTTTATAGAGGTATATAAATCAATCCAAAAAGAGGGACAACTGATGAGGAAAGAGGGACAGAAGGATTTTGTTCCAAATGAAGAACACTTGGGAACTAGGTTTTATGCCCCGGTGCCGCCTCTGTATTCAGTAATGAACACTTTTTATAGAGTTCTATAAATCAGACCAAACAGAGGGACACCTGCAACTTATCGGCAAAGGGGGACAGGGGGATTTGGTTCCAAATGAGGGACATTTGGGAAATAGGTCTTATGCCCCTGTGCTAGCTTTGCATCCAGTAATGCATGCAAAACCTGTAACAGAGGACCAGATTACCTGTCTGTTATAACTCCATATGGAAGCTTGAGTAAGTACAGTGTCACTTGGCCTACCAGATAAAAGCAATAGTAAGGGTAGAACAGAACATGTTAAGAAGATGAGACAAATCTCAACTTCAGATTTCAGAAATCTGTGGCTATTTGCCTGCACCTGGAATGCAATTGTAGTGCAAGCCGGTTCTGGTGTGTGAGCAGTGTGTGCTGTAGATTAACACTGGCATTGCTGTTGCATTGTTTTAGTCAGCCTGCAGAGATTTGCATTGTAAGTAGAAACAGTAAAGTACAATAATTTGGTAGCAGGACAAAACAGTCTGTGTCACTGGCTGTCAGGATTGTGGATGATGTCTAGGTGCCACCTAAGTATTTTTTTAGAGCTTTGGATGGGATAAAGCCTCCATTCATGGTAGTCAGACCTCATTATTAGCCTCATGAGAGCTGACTGATGCTCAGAGTTGTCTTTCTTACTCTGCTGGGATTCTGCTGCTAAGTGAAAAGGCTGAGTGCTCTCAGAACACCAAAAAGGAACTAGTGGTGTCTGTTTGTTTTGGGGGACCCATTAGGGGTGAACTCTATTAGCCGGGAACATACCTAAGTTAGTAGCTGGGACGAGCAGATATTTTGTTTGTTTTATGTGAACTTGCTATACAAACCCCTTCTGCATTGACCTGTGTTTGCTAAATAAAAGTGCAGGACAAACCTGCTTGACCTGTCTCATGCATGATTTACCACTGCCAATACCAGCTGAGCCTATCTCCCTCACAGTATATGAATTGCACATATAGACAGGGAGCATAAACAAATACAAGATACATCAAACTGATTTTAACATTTAAACTACTATACCTTATATATTCCCTTTAACCTTTTCCCTGCCACCGACATAAGGCATAGGGAGGAACAAAACTGTTTCCAATACACCAGGTCAGTATGCCTTACGGTGGTTGTTACCGTTCTGCTATAAGCTCATGGTCAACCCCCCTGCCGCCACCGGCACTGCTGCCGCCGCCAGCATCTTCAGGCTCTCCTCCCTGCCTGGAGCCGCTCAAGGCAGGGATCTGTGTCTCTATGGATCCCCGTTGCTCTCCCCCGCTTGTATGGGCTGAGGCAGCAGGGATCCGAGGAGAAATGGCCGGCAGGGGGGTGGAGGATTGAGCCGCTTGATCACGATGATTGAGCGGCATGAGAGAGCAGCCTAGTGGGGAGGAGATCGGAGACACTGTTATCCTGTCAGTTTCAGGATGACAGCGGCTGTGTGCGTGGCCGAGCGTAGAATAGTACTATGTGTCCCCAGTTATGAATGAACAGGATGTGATTTACATCACTTCCTGTTCATTCATGAATTTCTAAATGGGCAGTAGCACTCACTACATGGGCTTTTCCCCATTCAGAAACTGGTTCATAGTAAATTATTTTACTATCAAGAATTTCTGAATAAATGGGAAGCCTGTGTACTGAGTGCTCTCCATTCATTGAGTGCTGAGGCTGCAGAAAAAGAAATTGAGGACTCTGTGTCCTCAATTTCTTTTTCTATTTCAAAAGTGAAATGTCAGGGGTCTATTTAGACCCTAGATATTTCACCGTACCCCCAACCCCATAAACAGTAAATAAAAAATGTAACAAAAAATTAAAACATACATTAAAAAAATGTTTAAAAACATACATTTAAAAAATAAATAAATAATGTGTAAAAGAAAAAGCACAAACCCCACTCCCCCCACACACATAACATACATGTGCACCATATTGTGGTGTACGCCATGCACATGTGCTGCAGTGCGTTGTTAGAACGCATCACAGTACATGTTTTTTTTTCTTTTAAAAAAAACATTAATTTAACTGTGGCAGCGCATTGCAAAGTTTTGTGACGCATTGCCGTGCGTTGATACCTTGTGTTGCAATTAAATATACGCCTGTATCATTTTATCACAACACAAACACCAACACAGCGCAAAAACTATTTTTAACATAAGTCGCTTATATACAGTTTTGTGTTCCTTCTTTTTTTACCTTTTCACAAAGGCGCAATTTCAAATTTGCAAATATTTGTTATTTATTAACTCCATACAGTTTTATCTTTTAGATTTAGTCAGAAAATAATTGTATTGTGCACTGATCCTGATTTTAGTTTGCTTTATCAATTGAATTGTGTATTTTTAGAGGTTTAATATTAATTTGAGAAACATTTGCGCAATTATCGCAGGGCCTACAAATTTAGTAGCACCGTGTTTTTATTCTACCGGGCCTGTGCTTTCAGAAAATATATGGTTTGGGGGGTCTTTTACAAACGCTAGCAACGCAGCAGTTGAAAATCAAATAATGGGAAAAACTAAAAAAATGGTGTGGCCAGCTGAGGTGCAAAAAGTTCTGGAGGGCTTGGCAGCGAAAGGGTTAAAGAATGCCAGTAATTTATCCAATAGTGAGGCTCATCACCACTTGTTAGGAGTGATTGTGGCTCACTATTACAAAAAGGCAAGAACCCTATTACTAGCAGTATTTGTTTTTCAAAACCATTTTAATATTATTAGTGCCAATGTATCCATCTTATGTCTATATATTGAACAAACTGGTATTTAAGCTATAAATCCAAAGAAAATCAAAATAATCACTTACAAAGCATATGGTTCCACCACAGTCCTCTGGCCTGAATTATAGTACCTGCATCATATAAAAGAACAGTGCACCAGACCTGCCTGCCCATAGCCACTAAGTTCTACTGAACAGGCTAGCCTGGGTTCCAAAACACCTATACATTTTAGCCATGGGACCTCTGGGGTTGTTTTCTCAAAGCAGAGGAACCCCTGTGGTTCCTGCTCACACAGGACTTACAGCGCTTAATGGTATGTACCCACTGTAGTTCTGCATTTGAGATAAAATACAGGTATTTTAATTACCTCCCTTATAGTGGAATAAAATTCATCAAGCATTCAAAAAAGATCTCAGAATTGCACATGCTTGGTCACCAAAAAAATGCTTTGATTACCTAAATTTGGACTGCGGGCCACCCTACACACTGAAGCCAACATTATCTTAAATAGATTCCAGCACCGACCTCCCATTTGGTATCCTCTGCAGGCAGCAACAAGTGCATTACAAGGACATGTGCTTATGCAGAAGTGGGTGTCTTGGTGCCTGAAGTCATCCTGGCACATTGGTAGGATTATGGTGCACTTGGATGCCGGGAACGTGGCAGCCAGTGCACATGTGCTAGTCCACGTCAACAGGGGAATAAGAGGCAAGAAAACAGAAAGGGGATTGGTTTGGAAGACCTGAAAGCTATAGATGAAAACTCTTTAAAGGGCATTTCAAGTTGAGACAAAGTGTAATTGGTGGGTTTCATTCTGCTCTAACAGTTGGTTTTAACAATATAAATAATGCATACATGTTTATATAAAAAGTATGGTGCCTGCTTATGAATTTTACCGTTTAAAAAAATAAATGCGTATTCCTTGTACCATGTTATTTAAATATTACATGTCTTATATTTGAAATGTTGACTCTCTATTTGCTCATGCTGTTCATAATACCTACGCGGATGTTCGGAACAATGCAGATTTGTACAACAATATGTTTTGGATTCTATTTCACATAACTCAAAACGTATATTTCATTGACTGTTATGTTATACGTTTTATGTCAATTGATTGATAAAAAATAAAGTTACAAAAAAAAATGCCTCATACATTAGAAATCAACTGACAGTAAAACAAACTTGTAGAATATGTAGCATATTAAAATCAAATAAATCAAATAATCAAATCAAATAAAAATCAAAATAATAAAATAATTAATAGGAGTTAAACCCCTGTTAGCTTTCTTTGCCAATTGAAGAAATTTCCATTAGCTTCTTGTCTGATAACCACAACAGGAAGCGAAACCAGGTAAAAACCTGACAATTGTTCTGATCCCCCTCTAATCTATCCACAACTAAAAAAAAAGTTTTGGCTTCAGTTGCACTTTATTGTCAAATGTACTAAACCTGCATATTTATTCAATGCCCTGAACAATTAAAATAATAAACCTCTAAAATGTGTTTTTTATCAATGCGTATAACATTTGTTGGCGTATAATATTATTAAAGGTCTCACTAAATAAAAATGTTTTAGAACAAAAATACAAGAATGCAAGTGTTGCCCTTTTGTAAGTGTAATCAGAATATGACATCTGTAAGAGAAAATGAACATGAAACCCATATTTATTGGTTTATTGTTATGTTTGCCACGATATTGTGTACTGCTCTAATCGCTGTACAGAACCAGACACTGTTTTTCTAGCAGAGCCATTTCAGCACAGGAAAAGGAACAAACAGCTCAGTGTCAGTGCTGACACAGGCTATGCTCTGCATTACCCATTAATGTATCGGTTTCATTGCCTGCTATATGAAAAGGGACAATTGAAGCCTTTCTGGAACCGCAAGGTCAGCCAGGGAAAAGCAGGAGAAATAAGAAGAAAACTGCAAACTGATAATACAACTGAACAAAGACATCACAGTTGTTGGCAATGAAGTGTTAGTGACAATGTGTAATCTGTTTACGCTGTGTATAGCCTACTGTCTGATAAGAAGACCTTGTCTGGTAAGTCATATGATGACAACCAGAGACCAATACCACGTAATGGTTATTTTTAATGTTGCTGCAACATAGTTTACTGGTATGGCAGATAAAATGACAGTCCGTGCCAGCCTGGAGACCAGTTTTATTTTTACAGCATTTTATGAGAAACTGTTGGGGACAGTCTATAGAGATGCTTGGAATGTACATATACAATATAGTATACTCTAAACAATTAAAGCTTTATATTTACTAGATGAGATTTGTGCAGTAGAAAATGCAGGGGTTGAGGGATTGAATACAGCATTGCTCTTTCCTAAGCATTCTTCCCCATGATCCTATTTTAAACGGAGGGGATATATCCAGTTTCATAAGCTTAGAAAGTTGTTTGGACAGTCATCCTGTCCATCCAAAGTCTTTACCTCTAGAGATAAAGCGTACACTTTTACAACTGTCGCTGTGAAATTCCTACCTGATGACTTCAGTGGTTAATGTGGAACTCCAACTGTGCATTTTGGGTGACAGAGATCTAGACGTCATCAGAAGTGTATTAGAAGAAGCGTTTAGGGACCCTTTATTACAATGTACATGCAGTAATGTGTTGTTTTATTCTGATGATGGGGAGTTTCTGCCCAGAAAGGTGGTGGAGGGAGATAATACTGGTAAGACCAGAGGCATCTCACATATTGTTCTCTTCTTAGTTAGATAAGCTTGCTATGTATCTTTAGGGTAACATCATCCTAATAAATTTATAGTCTCACAAACCAGGAACTTGCCACCATCTTTTACCATATCACCCAATCCAGAAGGGCTCCCGTCTCCATCGCACTTGGGCCATGGAGAGAGGTGGGAGCTCGATATGGGAGCCCTTCTGGATTGAGTGATATGGTAAAGTATTACTGCGAATGGCATTTTGTTCAGTATGATGTTGAACAGTTGTGACTTTAGCGAAAGAGAAGAAGTATTTAGGAGATTTTTAAACTACCCCACAGTTCAGCTTTACCTGGAATCTTTAAAACCCCATTGATTGTTCCAGGTTGCTTTGAATACTTGCATAGCAAGGTGCTAATTGACACACCACTTTTATAGTTGACATAGAATACTAAATAAAGTATATGTAAACATTCTTTCTTAGGTCATGTAAGTAAGGTGGATAGAGCAGAAAGTGTTACAAACCCATGTCAGTTTTGTCTTGATGTTTGAGCCCTCAATGGGAAATTCACTGATACAGGAGTTGATGGGAAACCCAAAATGGTATAATTGCCACTGGAGCAAGAAGCGAGATAAAATCTTCCAAACGGCACACCTGTTCTACTGACAACTGTCAAACCTTGAAGAGATTATTTCTTACTTGTCATGTGTTTGAAGCAGAAAGTAAAGGGAAATGTCACTGAGACACAGAAAGATTCATTCTTTGCTGTATCCAAAACTAAAAGAAAACGTTTTGACTTCAGCTATACATTATCCTTATATAGGTCTTTTCTGCCCGTGCGTGTCCGCTAGGGGGCGCGCGCGAGCAGAAAAAAAATGCCGTCTGGCGACGGCAACCGGCCAATGCAGCAGTGCCGTCCGTCCGTTTTTCTACTACGGGCGGACGGCAAGAGGTTAAAGTAGAACAAGTTTTTTTTATGTGATGTTTCTATAATTTTGTGCAATTTCTATTTTAGTCCAACACAAAAGAGCATATTATTATATAAATATAGGTTTCAATATATTTGCTCACCTCTGTAGCTTTGTCTGTAAGCCCAGCTTCAGCAGCAATGAGCATCATCAAACACTTGTCAGGCTGTTTGCTCACTTTATTAAAATTATTTTCAAGGATGTCTATTTGTTCCTGGCTTGGCTTTTCAGCGTCATTTTCCCAGGATTCTTTTGGCACGGAACTCATTATTATTGCCAGTGGCCACGTATCTGTGAAGCTGTAATGCATTATAAAACACAATCACTACCTTAAATTGAATTTTACTGTAAATTATCTAACGTAGCAAATATGCTGTATTTGTATAAGTATACGTAAAGGTTCACGAAATGTCAAAAGTGAACTGTAATACTATCCATTTCACCAAGTGCAGAAGAGATCAAATTACTTATTGCATCAAACATTTATAGCATTGTATTCTTGTTCTACTATTTGAGAACATTTACTATTGCATTTATGTGTGGATTAATTAGCATACTGTATATACAAATATATATATATTTTAAGTTGCATTAGTGAAATAAATGAACTTTTGCACGATATTCTAATTATTCGAGTTTCACCTGTATATGCCATATACATGTCGCAGGAAAATACATAGACTAGAACCCGTGGTTTTATGCTTATTACTTTGAGTAATAATCATAAAAATAAAACAAATAACAATAATAGAAAAACATTCCTTTATGTTGGTAGTCATTTGGAAAAATACCACATTAGTGGTCAATGAAGTACCCCTTTATATTGGTGGTTACTGGAAAAGTTGCCCCCATTAAAGTGCCTCCTTACTTTTGCAATTAGGCCTGGTTCACACTGAGCGTTTTTCTGCCCTAAAAAACCCTCAAGAAATATGCCCCCCCCCCAAAAAAATAACAATTATTTCTATGGCCCTGTTCACATCTGAGCGTTTTGTCTAAATAAGAAAAACGCCTGTCCCTGGAAAAAGTACAGGAGCTTTTTTTGGCCTATTACAGCTCGTTTTGGCCCCATTGACTCAATAGGAAACGCTGCGTTTGCTGTGTTTTTGTGCGTTTTTTGCGCATATGCTCATTGACGTCAATGAGCTACAATCTGCTCACAAAAATTTGCAATTTGATTTATATGCATAAAACGCACAAAACGGTGCATCAAAAATGCGCATAAAAACGTGCAAGAACGCTGTCGTCTAGGTGTGAACACAGCTTTAATGTAAGGGGGCACTCTGATGGAGACAAGCAAGGTACTTTGATGGGGACACCCAATGTAAGTAGGAACTCTGATGGGGACACCTACTGAAAGATGCTCTCTAATGAGGATAACTGTTGTATGGGGCATTCTGATGAGGACACCTAATGTAAGGGGGCACTTTGATAGGGACAACAAATGAAAGGCACAACTCTGATGGGGACAACTAATGTAAGGGGGAATAAGGGGACATGAGATTTGAATGTCTGCTTGAAGGAAATGTTAACTGTCAAAACAATCAACTGAGTAGCAGAGTGAGACAGAACAAGCTCTATAACATGGGTCACTAAGGCTGCATTCACACCAGATGCACTGCACTGTGCCCATAGGACAAAATAAAGTGTCATTCTTGGCATTTCAATAAAGTTGTAACAAAAAAATAAGCAGTGTGATGTGCCCGTGTTGGAGCACAGTTGCTGGTGTGAATGCAGTATAAATAGAGGACTGCAGTCCAGACATGGACCGAGTGACCGTTATATTTGGACCGTGATTCTGGCCTCAGAAAATGTTACTCACCGGACCTCCTTGAATTTTAATTCACTACCTCTGGGATATACAGTACTACGTTGCAATGGGAATTCCAGTATATTAGCCGGATTTTCTGAGGTTTATACTTCTTTTGTTGTATTTGTGGACAGATAATGGATCTGATGTATACCCAAATCAAAGTAATAAATAATCCCACTGCACTCAGGGCAATGAAAATAAATGGGATGCTAAAAAAAACGGGGTTCTACTGGATGGACGTCCTGTATTCCAAGGTGAATTCCATCTTGAATTCCAAATATGGTGTATTCCATACAGTGAACTCCTACATGATGGATGAGCGTTTTTCAGATCTCCTGACATTGACTGCGGACCAGTACTCACAGCAGATTTACCAGACGACCCCTCCCCCTCCTACCTCCCCTCTCTTTTTTCTACTTCACCTCTCCTTGTAGAATCTTTCTTGGCTACATATCTCCCATTCTACATTTCTCCAGTTCTTAAAATTACGGTATCTCTTATTCTTCTATACAGGATTGTGTTCTTGAAAACTAAAGAAAGAACAATTTTATCCTTATGCGCTGCAATAGACAATATGACATTCAAGCCGTTAACAGTAATTGGAACAGGATAAGGGTATCTACCCATTTGACCTGTGACGTATCGGGGGTAACATTCTCATGCATCTATGCTGCACATTGCTAATCTATCTAGAGTTTAGCTGCCCGCTACGGACTAGCACTATTAAGTTGTTTATTCTGTGATTATTCATTTCATATTCACATGCTGTTTTCTGTACTCTGTATTCTGTTTTTGTTCTAGTATGCTATTGAAAATATAAATCAAGAATTAACAAAAAAATAGATAAATGGGATGCTTCAGCATGAGTAGACGTCCACTAAAAAGGCCAAGGGGAAATTACATTATAATTATATAATGATGTTTATTTCTATGCAATGATGTGCTGAGGAAATACTGGCCATCTGGTTTGCTATCAGCACTTTTTCTACCTCTTGAACTTTGCATTGTAAATCTAATATGCCGGGTTTAGAAGGTTTAGAATTTCCATTTTTTATTTCACTTATTTTTTGCATTTATTAAAATGATCTGAACTGATTTGATTATTGCCATTATATAATAATCATTCTGTAATATATAATTTACCGCTGCCTTATGGGAACAACGCTTTGATGTCAATGCTTCTATTTGAAAAGATGGGGTTTCATTTTATCTGTGAGGTTTGGCATGAAACATGCAAGTTTAAATCAAGGGTCAGTCTGCTTGATGTGTAACTGAAACCAAAACCTTTTTATTTACTTTTGGATTAGAACACCTGTTGGGTTATTACTGATATCTGTGCAGGAAGATTCTCTATTTGCCCTGGCGACCATGATCACTGAAAGTAAAAGAAAATATCGGGGTTGTCACCAGAACAGGAATAGATGGGGACACTACTTCTGGAGACCATGCTGACCACCAGGCATTACCCTCTCTTTGGAGGGATTTCCTCTCACTTCCTGTTGTGGTTATCAGACAGGAAGTAAAGGGAAACCTTCCCAATGGAACAAAGGTGGAAAAAAATGTTGGCAGGGGTTATAACCCTCCCTTATTCCATCCAAAACTAAAAAAAAGTTTTGGCTTCAGTCCTACATTTCAGGCTAACGTTTCAGTTTTTCATATATCCTAGATGAAACTATCAATGTATTTTGCGTTCTCTAGCTGTTCTTGCAATATCCAACTGATTAATATATCTTCACAGTAAAACAGGGGTACCAAACCCAGTAATTAATTAGACCCTAGAATCGGGTGATTTGATTATTCAGTGACTCTCAAGAAAACAACCCCCAGCTGCTTAGACAAGACAAAAACAGAGGTGTGATATGATCCAAAAAAGATTGTTCACAGTAAGCCTGATGTTTAATTTACACTACAGTACGTGCTACCTATGTCCCTTTGTGGAAAGTTCCCATATGTTACAGTCACTATGGCAGGACCACTAGTCTGAAAGAACATTGAGAGGGAGAGCTTGAGTCTAAACCAGTGACCTAATGGTCCAATGAGATCTGTCACAACTGAGTATTTATAAAAGGTGAGGTTCTCACAACTTCCTGGCAAAAGAAATACAGAGACCTTAATTTTGCATTTCACCAAGGTATGTTGTAATTTTTAGCATTACATATGTATAAATAGACATATTACCAAAGCTTTGGCTGGGAGCAATCTACAGAGCTGTTGGAAAACACTCTTCTATCCTATGCCCTTTGGAAACCTGTTTTTACATGTCTCTACAAGTGCAATCCATTTATTCATTGATAATTCTACTCAGTGTTCTTGAATGGTTTGTACTGGGTGTGGCTGTAGTATTGAGATTACTCTTTGATGAAATCTTGGTACTGGGTTTATTTCCCCTTATTTTCGTTCTCCTCTATTGTTTGACTTGCCTGCCACTTGCTGTAAGCCTTTAACATGGAAACTATAAGAAGAATATCTCGATGTTAACATCATCACCATTATTTAGGTTTAACGTTTGTGTAACAAGTTTTCAAAACAATCATATTATTTGTACATCGCCATATTACTAAAGGATAAAAAGGTACACCATTCTGAGGTTGTGAGGGATCTTATATCTCAGGCCCTGGTGCACTATGACACGAAAAGACTCTCTTTCTCTCTTTTTCTTTCTTCCTTTCTTTTTTTTTCTCTCTTTCCTTCTTTGCTTTTTTCTTACTTTCTTTCTCAGTATTACTGTGATTTTGAAAATTGTTTGCCAAAAATATAAGCTTCACAGAATGGATGATGCCTTTTCCTCATCCTATGTTTCATTTGTGATAGGTTTATGTTAATTTATTTTGTGAAAATGCAAGCACATGTACCATAATCCTTGTTGTGCATGCCATCATTTTTGACAATGAATATCTTGGAATAAACTATAATTGTTCCATCTTGGTAAGGCGGAATGTTCATTAAAACATGGATCGTAATAGTTTACAAATAATTGTACAAATAATTGTACAAGCCAAGCAGTTCTCACACAGTCCTATGAATACTTGTCCATCTACTGAGCAGTTTACTAAACAAAGTCACATGTTCCTGGAGAGTCTGTCAGTCACTGGTTTCAAATTAAAATGTCATACAGAATTCACTGTGGACATTGTCATGTTAAAGATGCAGAGCAGCGCAAAAGGCAAATTCTGCTAAAATGTAGAGATTTAATTCAAAAGTACCAAAATATCTATTGATTTTGCACTGCTGATTGCATGGCCACATCAGCAAGTTTTTAAACAGTCAAAAATTGTTTGTTATACAGCAAGTTTTCTTAACCTTTTTTTTAGTCACAACACCCTTTAGAAGTATGCAACATCTCGGGGGAACCCAGTCTAAATGTAAAAAATGGAAGTAGGAAAAATGAAATAATGTGGCCCCCTTCAAATTCCATACCAGACCCTTATCTCAGATGGGGGTCTGGTATGGATTTTAGGGGGGGCACACAAAGAAAAAAGAAAAAGGGTTCTTCTTTCACATTAGAGTCCCCCCATTCTAATCACGAGTCCTCTTGATATCAGAAGCCCCCATTTTTCTTATTAGAGTCCCTCCTCTCACACTAGGAGCCAACTCCACATCAGAAGCCCCCTTTTTCACATTAGAGTTCTCCCTCTTACACTAGCAGCCCCCTTCACATCAGAAGCCCTCTTCACCTCAGAACCCCCCATTCACATCAGGAACCCCACTTTCACATAGGAGCCTCCTCTTTTATATCAGAGTCCCCCACTTTCACATCAGAGTTCCCCCTTCACATCAGAAGCCTGCCTGCACCATGGAAAGGCGTGACACTGTGTGAAAATTTTGAGGCACCCTGGTTGTGAAAGGCTGCTTTCTAGCACTGTGATCTTGCCATTGCCATTTTTTTTTTCAAGCAAAACATTCCACATTGGTCTTCTAGATAGAATAACAACGTCTAACATCATTTTACTGGGCAGTCATATATAGAACTTTAACTATATTAAATATTATTTACAAAATTAGTTACATGTATACACAATTTAGTCAGTACTAAAAACAAACTGGGAACACAAAGTAAACTAATATACCTCTAGGGAAACTTAGACATTTTGTTGCTATAAAGCGATAGCTAATACAATTCGACGTTGATAAAGAACACTTCCACAGACTTACTTGATAGGGCAAACAGCAATGTACAAAGTGAAGTAACCCTTTAATAATCAAATTATTTTTCCTTGATCTGACTGCTGTAACAGTATGATCTGATTGGTTGGCATAGGCTACAAGATTGTAGCCTATGCCAACCCATTATTTCTGGGGCTGGAAGTAGTCCAATTGGCTTCTGATACAACAAATAAAAAGTAGTCTGCACCATGTCAAATATTCTTTGGGTAGGCACAGAGAAGAAGTTTTCTCACTAATTAGAATGACAACCTCTGCCCGTCCTCATTCTCTCCACTGTGCCCCCCAGGAGAGTCTAGGCCAATAGGTGAATGCAGTGCACACTCATTAAAAGTTATTGCAAAGAGAAATTCTCTCCAAAGAAATCTCTGTGTGCAATATAAAAGGACATACAATGATGATAATTATTCTTTGAAACCTCACAGAGGGCCCCTATGTGGCCAAAACCTCAAATATTGCAAGCAGCATTCAAAACTGTCACGCTAATTGGAAAAAATGGAGCTGTGTGTGTGCAGTGTCCAAAATATAACTGTGCACACAATAATATAAAAAAAACTAAGAGGAGAATGTGTATCGTGCTGCCTTGTCGGAAGTTTGATGTCATGTTTACTTAGCATGACAGCTCAGTAGGTAATTTACATCTCGATAAAGCTTTTGTCCAAGTAGTTTTCTCCCATCTCCCACACAAATCTCTGTACGTACAGCTTGCCCTTGATGCAATTCTTTCTCCATCCTAGAAAAATAATCATGTACTTACATAAGAGAATGCGTTGCCTGGAACAGATCACACGCACTCAGCCAGCACGTCTTGACTTAATAAAAAGCAGCAATGGAAAGCTTTTTAGCTGCTTTACAGTGCTCAGATGTGACGCCTACTTGTTTGTTGTACATTGTTGTGTTATAATTGAGCAAACAACAAGTACCTGAAAAACCTGCAGTACAGGCCCAGACGACTGAGATGCTAGTAATCGGGAGATCACTTGTCAGCTGAGCGATCACACGCTGCCACTTCTACTGGCGTACGCTGCAAGTTTCTATGGAGCTGTTGTTCCTGTCTCAGGCTTGCTTTTCCATATGCTGCTCAATGGGTGTTTCATATTTCACATGCAGCACACGCCTAGTAAGCTTGGCAGAAGGCTACATAAGCTATGAAGGAGTTACTAAAATCCCTTTTCACTTAGGTGACAGTATGTACTCTTAAGTGGTGTTAAGTGGCGTGTGTACAAGATGATGAGATCATATAGCAGCCCACACTTTTTTTTTTTTCTAAGCTATTGTCTAACCGTGTCTAATCAATCTCACTTCATTCTCTTAAAGAAAACCTGGTGAAGAAATATGCAGGCTGACATTGCTGACTTCTCTTTCAGAAAGTACTAGTTCCTTGGCTGTCATGCTGGTCCAGTGGCTTTAGTACTTTCTAAGTCATTGAAATGACTTAGATCTCCAGATCAAAAGTTCTAATTTTACACCGACTTTTCTTAATGCATGTTTGTTCCATGTCAGTCTGTCAGAAAGTACTGAAATCAGAAACAGACAGGCAACCAGTATTGTTAGAAGGAAGTCAGCAAGAAAAGAGCCAATGCTTTTCTCACTTAAAATGGAAGTAAAAGATGTGCGAGCCCGAGGGCGGATATGCTGCACATATTTTGGTGTTGCCCAGCCCTCCAGAGTTTCTGGGATCGAGTACACTCGCTGGCTCAGAAATTTACAGACCACCCAGTCCCGCACTACCTGGCCTTCTTCCTCCTGCATCACATCTCCATCCATCTGAAAGCCTATAAGTGCTCTTTCATACCATCTACACCATGAAGGTCCTTATGAGTACCCTTAAAAACATTTTCAAAAAATGTCAGAACACTTGATTTTACTGGATTGAGTTCACATATTCCCCTGAATAACTTTCTTTTTGCCAGCACCCTGGTTTGTGATCTTCTAGAGTAGGGGGACTCTCTGCTTCAGGCTTTCTCCTTTTTCCCTCTTTTCTTATGCTGGCTCTCACTCTCATGTTCTTTCACTTTTCCTCTTTCCTTTCCCTTCTTTCCTCAGTCTTAGTTTCTCTTCCAGTCCATTTATACACATTAGCTTGGATATGCTCTTATGTCACACATTCATGAAGTTCTTTCTGTTCAGTACATTAGGAGATCTTATGGAAAGACACACAGTTGAATGCTCTGTCTTTTGCTCGCAGTGAAGAATAACTAATTTATATTGATTATGACTTTTCTCTCTTTGTGTGTGTAGCGCCCAGCACCGTTTGTGAGGTGGCTACTAGAAATGTAGTGATTGCCAGAGCTGTAGTCAGTCTGGCTGAATTATAGTTGGCATTTATCTGGTTAATTCCAGGTGTTCTGGTATTGATTGTACTTACCTGGGTGGAGCGTGAGTCTGCTGCAGTGTGGGACAGCCAATGAGGGGCACTGTGAGTGTATGTGCAGTTCTTCAGCCAATCACTGGGTTTCTCTCAACCAGTGTTGCATCCTTGGTATGTGCATATATACTGGAGGGAATTGCCATGTGCTCAGTTCTAGTTCGGGACCAGCCATGGATTAGTCCAGGCTGGGTGCTGTCCAGCCTGGCCCCCAGGCTAGGCCTGGGGGTGGGGATGCTGGAGTGTGGGAAGTGTTTCGCTAGGCCTCAAGTATGGAGGAGGCCTGTGCTGTTGCTAGAGGAGGAGAACCAGGAAAGCTGATGGCTGCTGAAGGTACCTGGGGCATAGTGGACCTCAGGAGCAAGTCTGGTGTCTTTCCTGTTAAGGATCTGTGCTCATCCCAGCTCATCTGCTACTCAAATTCCTATTTGCTGTGCTACAAATGGATCTACACTGAGATACTAATAAGGGACTAGTGAATCTGGAGTCTATGCCTGTACTATCCTGGACGTCTAGGATCCCTATACCCTCCCCAGTGTGAAGATGTTAATAACAGTTCTTCAGCATTATACTTTTGACTTGTATGTCAGTTCTGTGGGCACTAGAAGAGGGCAGTTAATTCTAATGGGGCAGCTGAAGACCAAAACCCCTAGACAGACTAGTGATGACCTGGGTTATTCTGGCGGCTCCTTTGGGGGTGATGGCTACATGTGTTTTCTGAGACAGTTTTTGGACAACAACCGTTCATTTCTTTGTATTTTTCATAGTATTGATTGATCTACTTATGTCTGCTACCATTTGTGTTTGTACATCATGCACTATGTTCCATTTTTGAAAAGTTCAAAATAAAGAAATTATTTAAAAAATGGAAGTACACTTAAAAAATCTAAAACTTCTAGAGTTTTTTTGGCAGTCTCTTCTGCCAAAAAACAGCTGCTTCTAACTTCTAGCAGTTTTTATTACTAGTGTACATTGTACAGTGCATGTAGTGTCCTTCCCAGCATCTGAAGTGTGCCAGGACCTGAGATGGGTGCCAAGTATGATGTAACTCCTGTGCCCGGTCATTGCCATGAAACTGTCATGAAACTGCCTGGGATTAATGATGACAATGGTAAGAAACCACCTAATTTATGCCGACTAGTTAATGTTTTAAATTTTTTTTTACAATATATTGAATATATACAATGACAAGAACTGAACAGATTAATGTAAGTTGAGAGGGAGAATGAAAAGAGGGGAGAGAATTGGGAGATAGGAGCAGATAGTGGTGTCTGACTGGGGTAGGCCTCCCACTAAAGGTCATAGTAAGTATGATCTGGTATGGTATCTGCAAAGGTCACTGAATTGTGTGGTGCCCATTAAAAGCAATACAGACACTCGATGGCGGTGGATGGAGCAATGGCTGACTGAGTAGATCAATCAGCACTGGAGGAGAGCACACTTGTCAGGTAAGTATGCCATAATGTGCAATTATGCTGTGCAGACTTATAGCCAGACCCCACTCGCCTAAACAGACTTTATTTCCGCTTTAAAGCTAAACTACGGGCGCAACAAAGTTTACACTAATGCATAGGCAATCCTATGATCTGGTATGGTATCTGTATTGGCAAAAGAGAAGGTCACTGAATTGTTTGGTACCCATAAAAAGCAATCCAGACACCCAATGTTGTAAAGGATTTGGGATATCTATCTTAGTATGATCAGTAAAAGCGTGATCTTAGAAGACATCTTCACTGTATTACTGTACCTATCACTTGGTTGTGTGTGTTAAAGATTAATTTCCAGAATGTGAGCAAAAGTGGTCAATCCCACGATACATACAGCATGGTGCCTGTTGCTTCCCCACTTTTCCAGCAAGGAGACTTGTGAGTATATTCTGTGTATTGTATAGGGGCATCTCTACTACTTTGTTCATATCCTAAATTTCCTCTTCTAGGCTGAACAACCAACAATAATTTGTGTAGAACTTCTAAAAGAAAGCCATCTGAAAATGGTCTTCCCAGATCTCTTTCCCACTCTGCTATGCAATAGGGACAATATGTGTGAAAATAAAATTATATATCATTTTGGAGACTGAAATAATGGGTTCCTGTGTTTGGAGACAGCGAACCTCAAAGAGGGCAAGGTCTTTGTGAATTGGGCCCATTCTCTTACTACTCTCATAAATTCCTCTCAGCTATAAGTTATACAGCCAGTGCCCTTGGAGAGTGTCCAAGTTGTTCATTGTTGTACTTATTTAGGTTTGACTATAATGTCTTATAGTCATGCTGGGAGGAGGCTCCATATGTACCTCAGTAAGGAGGAGTTTGTTTTTCTAAAGAATGCTTTAGGCATATTTATGAATGAATGTACAGCCATACCAGCCATACCAGCCATACCAGAAATGTTTTCTTTTGACCCATTCCTTCAAGCTTTGTTGTGTATGGCACAGTAGGACGGGAAGGTAATTGAAAACGTATAAGGGTCTATTCACGAAGCTGCCGAAGGATCTAGCCGTAGCTTCGGCCGAGCCTTCGGCTAGCTTCGACCCCAGGACCCCTTCGGTTCTACTTCTATTCACAATAGCCCGTACAGCTCCGGAACGTGGCCGAGCGGCTCAGTCGAGCCGAACGCATATGCCTAGGCTCGACTGAGCCGCGCTGTAAGCCGAAGCTGGCCGAGCGGCCGGCCATTGGCCGGCCGACAGCCTGCTTCTGACAGCTGGGCGGAGCCAGTCGTGATCTTACAGCTGGCTCCGGCCACTTGCAGAAAGATCAGCGTCCCTGATTACCTGCTAACCAGGGACACTGATCTCCAAACAGCAAACTCTCCCTGGCGCTCTGGGAGTCACCCGCTCCCGGCCGCCAAGGAGAGAAACACTGCTGTTTCTTTTTTTTATTCTGACACGGAGACGTACGGTGGGTACAATGCTAGTTTACTATTGGCTATTGCAAATTGAATAGCCAATAGGAATCTAGCAATGCATTCCAATGGGCAAAAATGCTTTTGTTTTTTTTTTCTATTCTGACACGCCTCTGTGTCAGAATAAAGAAAGAAAAAGCAGTGTTTCTCTCCTGGGCGGCCGGGAGCGGGAGGCTCCCAGAGCACCCGGGAGATTTTTCTTTTTATTCTTTTTTTTTTTTTTTACGGCAGCAGAACCGCCGGACAATAGAAAACTGTTGGGCGGAGCTAGCTGTCATTGCTAGCTCCGCACAATCGTTTTCTATTTACTTTTTAAAACGTTTTAAACTATTTTTCTGCTCGGTCCCTCTTAGGGACCGAGCAGAACAGCCGAGCCGAATGCCGCTCAGCGGCATACGGCTATTCACTCACTGCTGTTCGGCATCTATAAGAATAGGCCGAACAGCAGTGAGTAGCCTGCCGGAGGTTTGGCTCAGCCGATCCAGATGTTGGATCGGCTGAGTCGAACTCCTTCTGCACTTCGGGTCAGCCGAACATGCTGAAGCCATGCGAAGCAAGCCGATGTACGGCCGATTTCAACCGATATACGGTTGAAATCAGCCGTACAAGCCTGAAGTTAATAGCCTAACAGTGTTCGGATCACTTCACTTGGGGTCGGTTGTTCACTCGGCTGCCCTTGGCAGCTTAGTGAATAGACCCCATAGTTTGTTAAAGTTTACTGGGATTTGAATACCTCAGTATTTAACGGCCCAGTGAAAGGAGAAGTTGTCTTTTTCAAACTGGCATCCCCCTTAAGGTAAAGATATGTCCAAGGTCCTAGATTTGTGAGTTTCAACTTTAAAGTTACTCAGTTCAAGCAAATTAAAATTCCGATGTCAATAAAAACATA